ATTCAGCCATTCGTTAGCATCTGCAGAGGACTGACTCCAGGAACTCCCCGTGGGTACCAAAATTCACAGATGCTCAAGTCTCTTACAGGAAATGCAAGGCTGTATGCATCCTCTGAAATGCTTCAGTTAATGCTTAGCTTGCTTACAGTCACAGTACGAACGATGCTTGGAGATGGCTGCTCCATTGCATCAGTTAGGGCATGAGTACCAGAAATAAAACAAGGCAGGTGTTTTTTTTTTAAATCTACAGCTAATTGAATCCACAGATATGAATCACAGATATAGGACCAGCTGTCCCTTTATGAAATTATTTCAGCTTAATTGATGAGATTAAAATAATTACAATTATTCTTCTCAGAGCTCAGAATTTCCCCTCTTTGGTCAATGGCATCTCTTCAAGTCGACTCCTGAGTGTTTCCTGATGTGCACTTTTGGGTCCTAACAGCTTCTCCCACTAGTTAGCATATGACATGATGGTTTGGGGTGGAAAATGTAGGAGACCCCAAACCAAAACATTTCTCTGGTTTCCTTTGGGGAGATGGCACTTCAGGACCACATCTAGACAGTAGGGATACCATGACCACTGAGTTGATCATTGTTTTTAAGCCTTGTCAATAAATGGAGCCAGGAAAGCCAGGCATACGTACATATGCAACCAATGTGCATATACTACATGCCTTCTGCATGCATTCTATACCCAATACAAAGAAATTTTACTCAAATGATATGTTTTGTCCCTCATTGCTAGTCTAGACTCCCATCAGCACATCCCACTATTTGACAGGCAGCAACCTATCTTAATGCATTAAAGACTTAGAGAGAAAGGGAAGTAATTCTTCGATTCCATTGAAAAACCATTCTAGGAATCCCGTTCAGTGCCCCCCCTCCCTTCCTCTCATATTAGTTAAGAAAATATCTGCTATGATGGTACCATACTTGATAGTCAATTTCTACTTTCCAAATAAGAAAACGTCATCAACTAGTGCTTTGCGTGTGTGTGTGTGTGTGTGTGTGTGTGTGTGTGTGTGTGTGTGTGTGTGTGTGGTGTGTGTGTGTGGTGGGGCGAGGCTCTGTTGGAGGTACAGACTGTGAAGAGAAGCCAGCCCACCTGCACTTTGCTCTTACCTGAAAGCTGGCTAGCTGCAAGTCCAGACTGAAGAAGGCTCTGTGCAGATCAGTAACGAAGCATCTCTTCATCAAGGGAATTAACAAGTACATGACCAGGAATCCTAATTTTGGCTGAAGTAACAGGCTATAAGAGACCTAGAGGGGGGTTGGAGGAGCACTAGATTAAGGAAGGATAATGGGATGGCCTCTGTAAGAGCAGCTACTCAGTATTCAGTTTCTGTCTTACTCTAAGGGAAGCTGGAGAGACCCCGCTTTAGTGCTGTGTGCTCACGAAAGCAGGCCTAGCATGGAAGCACCGAGTGGCACAATGCATGTGAAAGTCTCTCACATGCTGCAATACACTATGCAAATGAAATAACTGTATGATTATTAGATATTATTTAATTAAATTAAAACTTCTATTATAATTATCTTGACCAAGCCTATGTGTCCCTGCATGCCTTTTTCAAATGAAAGGCACGGGAATGTGAGAGCACCCAGGCTGGCTGCCTCAGCGTGCCCACAGGGGCGCCAGGGGGATGGCTGTGATCATCATTATCACAGAAGAAAAGCTGGAGGTTGAAACGGGGCCAGCCCACTGGGCTTCCCACCAGGAGAAAGCATTGGGCATAACCTTTGCAGCCTGACAAGTACATACATGCCCTTTGTTGTTTACTGGAATTCAGACCACAGGGAGTTTACAGAGGCATAGGTCTCCAGACAGTTCTAGAGAGTGTGGTATCCTGTAGTGGGACACTGGGGCCTCCGGGAGCAAAAAAAAAAAAGGGCAGGAAGAATGTGTGTGATATGTCAGGGAAACTGAAAACCAACGGGCGTTTAAGAGATAAAGCAGAGGAGGGAATGTGGATGGACTACTGTAGGCCTCTAATTGTGCAGGGTTAGGGTGGGAGTCACAGCCGCACTGAGGAAACCCAGAGCCATCCTACTAAAGACTTCCTGGGTGCAACAGAGTGAGGGAGGGCCCATAAATAAGTGGGTGATATTGTGACTGTGGATGGGCTGAACTGGAGTCTTTGAGACTCTCACTTTCTCTAGACTGGAATCTCTGACTTGTGAAACAGACCTTTTCCAGAGCTCCATGAGAGCCTCCCCCCACACATGTCAACAGTGACCATTGTCTGTCTGCACTTACAGGGGTCCTTCATGGAATTCCCCTAAAGCAATCGAGAAAGAACTGGCAACTATGTGAGCCAGGACTCTGAAACAGAATTGATTTACATGATTCACTCGGATTTCCTTCATTGTGAGAAGACATACAGCAAAGTAAATGTTGGAAACATGTGGCTTAGAAAACAGATTCCCACTCTCTTCCAATGCAATGTTAAGATGAGAGTCAACCAAGGGGAAAGAATACAATCAAACTATATTATATTATATAAATGTGTAATATAAAATCTATATTTTATGCAATTTATATTGTAAAATTAAATACAAATAAATTAATAAAAGTTAAATAAAATTAAACACGCACATCTGTATGCACACACAAAGATTACAGACAATCAGACTTAAAAAAAAACTGTCTAAATTTCAAAATATGCAAGTCAGAGGTAAGTTGCCTGGACTCAACAGCAGCTCGTTCACTTGGGTCCTCTCCCCCTCCCTCTCCCTCTCTATCTCCCCCTCCCTCTCTCCCTCTCCCACTCTCCCTATATCCTCTTCCTTTCCCTTTCTCTTGCTCTCTCATAGTTCAACTCGGTGTTCCAGAAACACCTTCATTTTTTTTTTAAAAGAATATACATGTGCTACCCAGAGTAACTGGGAGCATGAGGAGTCCCTGTGTCACAGCTCCAGTACCTTGTGACCCTTAGTTCCAAAACGGAGTCTTCCTGTCCCTGCAGAAGGGCCACTGCCTTCTGAAGAAGCAGAAACATAGATGTTTGTGGGCCTCCTCGTGCTTCGTCTCCCCAGCTTGGGTTTGTGCCCACAGCTTCTTTTTTCTCTCCTCTCCATTTCTTCCCACCCCTTTCTCCCAGCCATTTCTCAGTTTTTATGCCAGTGGCCATGAGGAGCCACTGCTTAAGTTTCTGACTTCAGGTCCTTGTTCTTGGGTCTACTAGTCCACTCCTGTCTCCTGGCTGGCAGCCTCATCTGCCACAGTCAGCAGAGCTCAGCCCACACAGGTGGGTGGCAACTGTTTTTTGGAGGGAAAGATTCCAAAGTCACTTTGCAGTCATCTTGTTATGGGCTCCAAGTATGGCAAGAATGCAAGGGAATGTGTTATAGGAGCAGTTAGAGGGGTGCTCCAGAGGAAGGGCTCCTCTAGCTCCAGGGAGGTTTCTTCAGTGTGTTATAGCTAAAGAAAACTGTCCTTTCATAGTAAAGGAAAAAAAAAACTTTACCAGAAGCAGTGAGAACTACAACTTTCAATTAATTTATCCACGGAAGCTATACTTGAATGAAATGAGCAGCACTGGACTTCAGTTGAGCAAACAAGTTATTTAGAGTAAATCAAATAATCTTAAGCATGAGAACAGGGAGAGGGCTTTGGTGCCCGCCTTTGTGTGGATGAAACACAGTGACCCAGCAAAATGAACCACAGGCTAGAGCAGGAGGGGAAAGGGCAAATGAGACACTAGAACAGATGCTACAGGAATCTCAGAAAACAGAACCATCCAGGAAAGATCAAGAGTGAGTAGCCCTGCTCTCTGGTGGGAAGCAAAGAGCCATGAGCTCTGCTCCAGAGGACGGTGTGGTGGAAGGAAAGCTTAGGGCAGAGGTGCTTAACCTGTGGGTCACGACCCCCCACACACATACAGGGGTAGCATATCCGATAGCCTTCATATCAGATGTTTACATTACAATTCATAACAGTAGCAAAATTACAGTTATGAAATAGCGATGAAATAATTTTATGGTTGGGGGTCAACACGACATGAGGAACTGCATCAGGAAGGTTGGAAACCACCGACTTTGGGGATCTCCATGCTCTGCATGCTTATCAATGGGACAGGCAATATGTAAGTTCAACCGTGGAGCACAGGGATGTCTCCCAACAGTTGAATCTGAGCAACCTATCAGGTTACTTGCTACTTATAATGCCAATAGTTATGTTTCCTCATCTATCAAATGGGGATAGTCATAAACTTGGGAGCTGGTGGCCCAAAAGTAAGTTCAACAAGAAAGAGTGACTAAATTTGGTGCCCAGTCCTTTGTGTGCATATTCACATAGGGCCTGAGAAAGCTGGGGGGGGGGGAGGGGAAGTTCCCAAAATGGAGCCAGACAGAGCTTCCCAGTAACAGCAGTCTCTCATGCAGTCCTGGTACTGGTGGCATACAGAGGCATGGCTCCTTTAAGAGGTCTTGCTATAAAGCAGAGCACCACTGCACACCACTGACAGGAGTCTAGTTAGAAACGCCTGCCACAGCACTAGCCTAGAAATTTCCCAGAGCTGGGGTGGATAGACACAGTTCCAAACCAGGGCCTTCAGACATGAGCTGAGCTGTGGAGTGCTAGTCACCTCCTAGCAGTTTAAGGTTTGCTTCCCACCGTAAGAGAAATGCTGTAGATGTGGCGGGGGAAGCCAGGTTCAGAACAAGAAAACCTCTGAACAGGTATAGTATGCTTAAAAGGGTGCCTGGGTGTTGAAGCAAGAAAAACTTGGGTATAGACAGCCGTGGAAAAATAAATTATCAGTTTAAAATAACAGTGAAGTCTTTAAAGAGAGAGTAAAGCAATATAAAAATAGTAAGCTGTGTAAGGGTGGAAATACACAGGGCATCTGTATCCTGTATGGTACTTAGTAGAGTTTGAAGTGTTTGAACATTGATGAGTGAAGGGTGAACACTGCTGAGAGATACTGTATTGTGGAAATAACTATTGAATTAAACCAGACATTTCAAGGATGTCTTAACTTTAGAATGTAAGTCAGGTGCTCATTTTGGCAGCAGATACACTAAAACTGGAACGATACAGAGAGGATTAGCATGGCCCCTGCACAAGGATGATACGCAAATGTGTGAAACGTTCCTTTTTTTTTTTTTTTTTACAAACATGGTGTGTACTCACTCATATATGGATTTTAGACATGAAGCAGGGGAGTGCCAGCCTACAATCCCACCGCCAGAGAGTCTGGGAAACAGGGAGGATCCTAAGAGAGATATTCATGGTAACCCAGAGAAGGGGAATGGGACAGGATCTCCTGAGTAGACTGGGAGCATGGGGGAGGGGAGAGGGAGCTGGGGGGAAATGAGGGGAAAAGAGAAGGGGACAGGAGGACATGGGGGAGCAGGAAGGCTGAGTTGGGGTAAGAATAGAGGAGAGCAGGGTGAGAGATATCGTAATAGAGGGAGTCATTATAGGTTTGAAGAGAGATCTGGCACTAGTGTGATTTCCAGAGATCTACAAGGATGACACCAACTGGCAATCTAAGCAATAGTGGAGAGGCTACCTTTAAATGCCCTTTCCTGATAATGAGATTTACCACTACCTTGTATGCCATCCTAGAACCTCCATCCAGTGGCTGATGGAAGCAGAGGCAGACACCCACAGCTAAACAGTGAACTGAAGTCCTGGAAACCAGGTGCAGAGAGGGAGGAGTGATGAGCAAAGGGGTCATGACTGGGCAGGTAAAACCCACAGAAACAGCTGACCTGAACAAGGGGGAACTCATGGACCCCAGACTGATGGCTGAGGGGTCAGCAAGGGACTGATCCAGACCCCCTGAAGGTGAGTGTCAGCGAGGAGGCCTCGGCAATCTTTGGGACCTCGGGTACTAGATCAGTATTTATCCCTGGCATCTGAATGGACTTTGGGAGCCCATTCCACATGGAGGGATGCTCTCTCAGCCTGGACACATGGAGTAAGTGCCTAGGTCCTGCCCTGGATGATATGACAAACTTTGGAGATTCCCCCATGAAGGGCCTCACCCTCCCTGAAGAGCCAAGTGGGGATTGACTGGAGAATTGGGGGGTTGGTGAGGGGAAGGGGAGGAGGGGGAGGGATAGGGAGCTGGGGTTGACATGTGAAGCAAGCTTGTTTCTAATGTAAATAAAAAATGTAAGTCAGAAAATGTGTTGCATTAGGGGAGAGGTTATGTTTTTGTTTCCACAAGAAACAAAAATCTATGGATTTCTTCAAAATTAATAAAGATCAGATTTGATCAGGGAAGACCTCTTGAAAATCTTGGCTATAAGCTTGAAGAAAGAAACCAAGAAAAACTGCAAGACAGGTGATGTATATGCTGATCCCTCTACTATGTGACATCTCTGAGACTGAATGAGACATGATAATTCATTGGCTACAGAGTTCTCATGACATATTATTATATGTCATCCTTTCATATGACATGGATAGAGATTTATATTACAGTTTGGTTATTCAGTCCAAATGGACTTATAAAGTCAACAGATACCTTTCACCAGATTAAACAGAACAGAAAATCATCATTAGCTGATTTGTGCACATCGTACATCCCATACTTGTGCTAATACAAATATGTATATTACCTTTAAAAGTTTGGGCATTTTCAGAAAAAAAGAAAAAAGAAAAAGGCCAGAAACCAATGATGACAAGTAGCCCAGGTAATCCGGCCTCTCAAAGTATCTCTGTTGCAGTTTCCTCAAAAATCTGCTTCTAGAACAATTTCAAAGCTGCCAGCTAAGATGGTCCAGTCTTACAGACTACTCCAGGCATGGCTTCAGATAAGCTCTACACTTTCTCATCATACCAAGAACTGGTCAACAGCTAGCACTCCCAAGACTCAACTATTATCTCAATTTTTTCAGGGTCCGCTAAAGATGCCTTTACCCCAAAACAACAGAAGCAGTCTAGAGAACATGACACACACATTCCCCAAAGGTTGGGTGGGTGGTTTGTGGTTGTATGTGGGTTATGGATATTTGTCATCGTTTAGGGAGTTGGTTGCAAGCTGTTACTGGTCATGGCCAGGGAAAAAACTAAGTAAAGGAGGTTATATTCAGGGATTTATTTCTGAAAAGAAAAAGGGGGAATATAGTAATGATAGGATAAAAGGATTGATTATTGACTCTAATTTTAAACTAAAAAAAGCAACTACTAATCTCAATTTCTTATATTGGTATGAATTTTTGTATTTTGATGCAAAGTTAAGGTTATTCTTGTTTTAACATACTATATATGTGTGTATACGTACATATATGTGTATGTATGTGTGTGTTTCTACTCTTGTTTAATAGATTGTACCTATGCAGCTCATTTTAAAAGGTAATGTAAAGTTCTAGTCCTTGAAAGCTATTATTACAAACTATTTAGGATAATTAAGATATGCAGGTTAGTAGTTAGTTATAAATAACAATCAAAATTGTAGCCATGTTAGGTATATTTTCAAGTTCAAACAGAGATATACATTAGATAGGTGGTCTTCAAACACTTCAGAGATCTACAGAATATGGCATTTAAGATGTTTTAATAACATGAGGCTTTTCATGACAGTGAGATACATCTGCTCCTGGAAGCACCAATCTACTTTAAAAAAGGATGATGGGCATCAAAGAACCTTCATATAGTTTGCTTTCATTGTGGCAAAATTAGCCACTGCCCTTGCCTTGACTACTGACTTTACGCTGTCCAAACTATACAAGAAGGACACAAAAGAAAGTGACTACCAAAATTTGGTAAGACAAGATACATTGGCCCTTCTAAATTCTTGTTTCACAGAAAAGTCTGTCAGATATTCCAGGCCTATAGGCCAAAGATGGATGCCTCAACATTGCAGAGGAACCTTTGGTGACTGTCCAGGCAGCCAGATATCTCTGTCATTTCTACAATTTTGGAAGTTGTTTGTTCTGTACTTCCTGTTTGCTCATGTAATATTTTTTTCCTTCTTGGGTCTCTGATGGGGCTGAAGACTAGATAGTTATACCATTTTCTTTGTTACCAAGTTCAGAAAAGAAGCTTATAAAAGAGATACAAAGTTTATAAAGGTTGAAAGACATAAAAGCTCAAGTTGTTTATTTAAGAAAATGTTTTAAGGTCTAAAAAGATATTTTTAGGTTGGTAATATAAGTTATGATAAAAAAGAGGTTTAGGTATAAAATTTTTGATTCATCAAGATAAGATAGATAATAGAATATTTTCTCTGAATTTGCCAAATACATATGGGCTGGACCTTATGAATGTAATTCTTACCTGGTAATTGTTTTTATTGTATGTAGTTTTACTATGTTAGAGTTAAACCCTTTTCTTTTTATTTAGACAAATGGGGAAATGTTGCTGGAGATTTGTATACTGTGTGAAGATGTATTGCTGTGATTGTTTTAATAAAAATCTGGACTGCCAATAGCTAGGCAGGATAGGTTAGGCTGAATGTCTGGGAAGAGAGAGGAACTCAGGGAGGGTGAGTCTAGGCACATGAGAGATGCCAGTGAGACACTGAGGAAATTGGACATATAGGATGGAGAAGAGGTAAAAAGATAGGAGGCAGAATATAGATTAATATAAATATAATTTAAGTTATAAGAGCTAGTTGGGAACAAGCCTAAGCTAAAGGCTAAGCTTTCATAATTGATAATAAGTCTCCATGTCATTATTTGGGGTCTGTTGGCCCAAAAGAAAGTCTGACAAGAAAGACCAACTACACATAGTATTACCTCACATAAGGTTGGTGTGAGCTTTATAGGGCTTAGTGCCTGCAAAACAGTGCCTGAAACATTAGTAAGTATTCTGTAAATAAGTGCCTAATAATTAGTATCATCAATAACATCAACTCTTCCGGTTATCTAACTTGCATTCAAGTATGCTCTGCTTCTGATTTTTTTCATATCTTACATTTTATTTATGTATTTTGTGATGCATGTGTGGAGTGAAAATGTGACACTCAGAGGACAACCCAAAGGAGTTTGTTCTCTCCTTCCACCATGTGGGTCTCAGGGACCCAGCTAAGGACAACAGATGTGGTGACAGACACCTTTAGCCACTGAGCCAGCCATCTCTGTAGCCCTTTTCACTTTTGATTGGTTGCACTAGCTATAATGTAACTATAAAATAATGAGTTCCATTGTGAAATTATATATTTATATATGACTTACTTTGGTCATATTTGCCCCCTATATCTCTCTCTTGTGCTCCTTTCCCCACTGCTGGCCCGTTTCCTCTTCCCAAATAGTCTGTCTTCTACTTTCAAGTCTTTCATGCACCTGAGAGAAAACATGCAGCATTTGTTTTCCTCGGTCTGGTTTCTTTCACTTAACATGATAATCTCCATTTTCCTGCAAACAACATGACTTCATGCTTCCTTACCACTGAGTAATACTTCATTGTGTATGTATACCACATTTTCTTCATCATATGTCAATGAGTATAAAAGTATACTCAATGAGTATAAAAGGCTGACTTTTATAACTGAACTATTGGGAATAGTGCCGTAATCAGCGTGAGTGTGAAGGTGTGCATACTGCATGGCAACTTTGATTCCTTTGGCTATATATATCCAGTTAGATCATATGGTAGATCAACTCTCAGATTTTGTTTTTAAGAATTATTTATATTATTCATTTATGTGTGCATGCTTCCAAGAGTGGATGACATATGTATATATGAGGATTTTCACTGAGGCCAGAAAAGGGCATTGAATTCCTTGAAGCTGAAATAATAGGAGTTTGTAGTATGCTTGATTTTTTATGCGGGGGGCTAGGATTTGAACCTCTGTCCTCGAGATTGTGCAACAAGCCCTCTTAGCCATTGAGCCTTCTCTCCAGCACCCTGCTTTTAGTTTTCGTTTTTTGTTGCTACTGTTGTGTTTTCGAGAAAGGCCCACATAGTTTTCCGTGGTAGCTGCACTAATGGGTGTGTCCTTGCTCTCTACCTTAACAAACAGGTAATTCGCTGATAAAGGCTTATCTGGGAGTTTCCAAGATATCCCTCCTTTCCAGACTAGAAGAGTATAAAAAAGTATGAAATGTTAACACATTTGAGGGAGCAGCCTTCACGCTCTTTGAGCCTTGTAGCTTTCGGTGCTGGAGCTGTGATCAGTTAAGCCCAGCGAAGAGTTCACGGAGAAC